TATATATACATGCACCAAATAAATCTACACAATTTAAACTAGAACACTATTTGATTGCCTTATTGGTTCAGTATCTTGCCTTTAGAGGAAAATGTTCCAGCTAGTAGGTATTCTCTTCCTACATTTTTTATTTAAGCCTCAAAAAGATGTCTACTGAATATCAAAGAAGTATCAGAAATTAGAGAAAGAAACTGCTGAATGTTTTTTACTTTAGCTTGAGGGAAAGAAAAGCTGTAATGGTGAGAAAAAATTTACAGTGTAAAGTTCAGCAAGATTCACAAGCTGCAAATTGGAATGTTTTTCTATGTGCAAATCAGTGGTATGGATGTTCCATACTTGAAAGAATTATTTCAAATGAAGAAATTTCATTGCTTAAGAACCTTTCTAAACTGGCAAGGTAAGATGGAAAGTACACCAACTCAACTGTCCTGTAAAACTTTTATTCCAAATTATTTACTTTTCAATTAAAGAAGAAATTTATGAGCCATTTAGGAAAGTTATTTGTGATTTGGACTGTTCTAAATAATTCAGAAACAATAAAAGTGTTGCAAACTTCTTGCAATTAAGAAAATGTCTCAAAAAAAAAAAAAGAAAATGTCTCAAGTCTTTTCAAACTCCAAAGATTTCACTAATCTTCTAGATAACCAATAATTTTCACAATTATGTTAATTCTAAATTGTTATGCATATGCCTGTTATATTTTCAAAATAGGCTTGTCCAACATTATTATTTCCTAACATAAATATCCTGAGCCCAAATACAGAGAGAATTATATGCTGACAATTGCTGAGTTTATTTGCATATCAAGCTTGCTAACCTATAAATTGAACCCATACGAACTTTTGTGTATTGAGCAATTATTGTTTTCAATTGAGTGCATAATTTTTGGTCAATAAAATATGAAATATTTTTCTTGTACTGGAGATTGAACCCACGGGCTTCTACCACTGAGCTATAACGCTAGTCCTTTTTATTGATTTATTTTTATTTTGAGAAAGGGTCTCCCTAAAGTGTTCAGGCTGAGTACAAACTTGGGACCCTCCTTTTTCAGCCTCTGCAGTAGCTGGAATTACAGCTGTGTGTCATTATGCCCACTTTATAAAGTCATTTTTATGTTTTACTGAAGCTCTTGCCCTTTTTGTTAGTGTTTTACTTTCTCAATCATTAGACATGAAATATACAAATATTACAGTGTGGAAGTCCATGGGAGGGGATGTTTATTATAAAGGCTCTTTCTATTTAAAAGTGTACAGACCACTATCTTTGAATTTTTGGTAGCTAATTATATATTTAACCACCTTCTTTTTTCTACATGACTAGATTTACAGGAGCAAATAAATAATGAAAACAATGGACAACTTACAGATTTTACTATTGACTGATAGTGTATTTTTATAATTTACTGTATTATCAGGAGACTTCTTTAGTACAGCTCATAAAGTGATTTCCTAACTGACCTGTTGAAGAAAAACCTTGAGAACTCTTACTTGTTATGTTCTACTTATTCTTATCCAGTCTTTTCCTTTTCGGAATGAATCTTTTTCTTTTACGCTCAAACCAATTTAAGCTCTAAATGTGTTCCCAGGTGAAGGTGAGGGAGGAAAGCCTTATTGACATGATATTTGCCCTATTTAATTTTGCTGACATAGAAATCCCTGGGAACCCAGTGTTGTAGTTAAGAAGATTACGTGATGTTGGTCAATAAACTTAAAAATGGGATTTAAAGTGATAGAATTATCGAGGAAATGATTCAATACTAATCTTGCTCCTTTCAGAGAATCATAGAATTTTATTAAATAGATTTTTTTCAAAGTATCACTTCATCTTTGAAGAATCTTTATTTTTACAGGCCATTTTGGAATTAATACAGATTTTAGCGTAAAATAAATCAGGGTTCAGACCCTTTCTACCATAAAACATGTGATCTTAGGCAAGATTCATTTCTCTCATGCTGGATCCCTGAAACAGCGATGTTCTCAGGAAAAATTACATGAACTAGCATGTAGACAGTGTCTACATAATTGTGCAAATAGATACTATTTCATAGCATTTAGGTAGCAATAAATAATGTTGAACTGTATCGTTGCTAAATCGGTACTGTTTAAGTGTATTTTATATTCATTTAAAATATTTATTAGTTTCAAATAATTGTCTATTTACCTCTCTTAAGAGGTGTAAGGTGAATTTTCAACATACAATAAAAATAAGATTATCAATTTGCTACAGTTATAAATCCTTAGAGTCTTTAACCTTCCAGTTTTATAAGGAGAACAATACGTACCCAACATGTGGAATAAGCTTTAGGATTATATAGAGTGCCCATATCATAATACATATTAAATATGTGCATAAAGTAACAAAATAATAGAAGGACCTCTTATTTATAGGATCAGTGCTCTTTGACTTTTTTTTTTTTTTTTTTTTTTTTTTTTGGTACAGGGGATACAACTTGGGACCTTGCCTTTAGAGAGGCAGGTGGCAGCGCCACTGAGCTAAATCCCCAGCCCGTGTTTTTTTTAGTTTTTTACTTAGGGTCAGCAGACAGTGCAAAACTATATTACTGAAACTTTTTATGCCATTAATGTACATGAAATGTGTCAAGGTTTTTGTTTTGTGTTTTGTTTTATTTCGTGGTGCCTGTTATAGAACCCAGGGCCTCAGGTGTGATAGGCAAGTCCTTTACCACTGAGCTAAAATGCAATTTTGCATCAGGTTTCCTTTTAAAGTAACAACATTAGCAGGGTCTCAAATGTATTTTGCTTAATTTATCTCAGAAAAAATGAGTTACTTTTTTCAAAAACTAGCTCAACGCTTTAAAGGAAAAGACTTCTTTTATTAGTCACTAAAGTAGTTTCAGCCACGCCTGGCCGCTAACTCAAAATTAAGTACTATCACTGAAGCAAACATTGATTCTGGATTCTGTAGTTTAACCCTATGCTGTGCTATGTTAAGGTTTTGGGAACATTTTCTCTTAAACTCAGACTTTTGTCAGAATTGTGCTTTAATATATTTTGTTATTTGTTGCATCTAAATCCTCACTATCCTCATTTAAAATCCTCTTTTATCTCAGGGTTTCTCTATTAGATGGTGCAGACTTGCTTCTTTACAAAGTTCTTATGCAACGAAACAATTTTAAATGCAAAGTGTTTATTACTCGGCATATAATCAACAGGGTTAGAGAGTCTGTTATTATTGTTTACGCTGAACACACACATATATATATTTTTTTTCAGGATTTCAAGAAGATTCTGCAAAAAAATGTTGTAGCTTATGTGAGTCTCCACAGTCCCATAAGGGGAAACTCGAGTCTACACCCTGTGGCATCCCCATCTCTGCAGCAACTAGCAGTGGAGGTGAGATAAACTGTTTTTGTGGAATGCGATCATTCCTTTTGTCCATGAGTTTGTATTTCGTGATCTTTTTTATTTCTTTGAAAGCACACATATATTGATCAACGGTGTTTAAAAAAATTAGTGGGGGTTGGGGATTTAGCTCAATGGTGCTGAACCTGCCTTGAAAATGCAAGGTCCTGAGTTTAGTTCCCGGAAAAAAAAAAAAAAAAAAAGAAAAAGAAAAAGAATTATGTTTTATATAAAATATAAGTAAAAATATAATTTTTTAGAAATTGAATTCATCACTCATTCAATTCTACAATTTGAGATTTTGTGATAAATTGGGTCACTTTATATATTTCTTCCCCCTGGTTCATGTTTTGAGTACATTTGAGAACTATTTTATCTTTTCAACTACATTGGAAGCCGCTGAGGGCAAGAGTATATGACAAGTAAATGCAACATATCTTGAAAATAGCATGTGCAAAAGTGTGGGGAAGGAAAGCATGTTTTTTTCAATAAGTAACTTGAAAAAAACCATGTTATTTTTGATATCTTACTAGAGTTATTTTAATCACTTCTCACCTATTTTAAAGACTTCAGCAGAACATTTTCTTGCTTATTAATAGAGTTTAGACTTTTATTTCTATGTTCTTTGACTTCACTACCAGCCCAGTGGTATGTGGTATTTCTCATTCTGAAAACAGACTTGTCACCCCCAGGGCCAGTTTCCTCCCAGCCCCAGCGTCTCTCAGTGCATACTGGAAATGACCTTTAAGATGCTCAGGCTTTCTAGTGAGTTCAAAGAATGAACTAAAGAAAGATAAAGAATGATACTTTGAATTATCCATAATCCCTGATTGAAATGTAATGCAAACTAACATTTTACGACTTAGAAAGTATTTTCTAGTTTAATAGTTTTTGTTGACATTTCCTTATGTAGTACAATAAAGGAAACATTACGAAAGATGACATGGATAAATCTGTGCATTTAAGATCAGCCAAATCCCAATACATATACCTTAAATTGTATCTGGATCTGTAAGTTAATTTCCCCTGATCTGTGTACTGCTTTAAATTCATTTTCTTTTACCTTTTGTAATTTAATGGTAAATAGAAATAACAATCTATTTTTAAGTTTTGTTTTTTGAGACACTATGTAGCTATGTAGCTCAGGCTGGCCTTGAACTCATGATGTACCCCAGGCTGGCCTCAAACTCACAGTGATTCTCCTGCCTCAGCCTTCCCAGTGCTGGGATTACAGTCATGCGCCACAATATCCAGCTAGCAAAGAATTAAGGTGTTTCAAACTCATATAGTATCATTTTGAGAATATAGTATTACCTAAAATACTTTTGTACATCTTGTATTGTTACACATCTTGTAATAGACAATGATAATATCTGTTAGTATATAAATTTCCTTATGTGGCTGAAAATGTAGCTCACTTATGAATACTTGATTAGCATGTACAAGGCCGTGGGTTCATCCCCAGAATAACAAACAAAACTATGTGAGAGCACAGCGTGATTTCACCATAATGAATGTTGGCATAAAAAAGATGTACCTTCTCATTTGTTTTCAAAATGAGCCCTTTTATACTATAAGTGAAAATATTTACTCACTAACCTTAAATCTAAAAATGAAGCAAAGTCTATACTGAAGGAAAATGTCTTTCAATTGAGATGTGTGTTTGTGTATGTTCATTCCATAGAATAATTTTGAAAGGTAGGAATATTAGAAGTTCAGAAGAAAATGATAAAGATGAGTGTTACATACTTAGTCATATTAAATATTCAGATTAGCATTACATATTTAGATATATTAAATATTGTAGAACAAATGTGTATGATGACAGCTATATTTTCATACAAAATGTAATATGTTGTTTTCTTTAAAATATATTAACAGAAAATAAGAAAAAAATAACTGAAGGAAAAAAAATCATTTTGTAACTTGTATATTAATATGAGTAGCATCTAAAATAAAAATTTTAAATTTTTCCTTTAAAACTGAATTTAAATTGTTAACATAAGAATATATGTAACTTCATATACATTGACAAAGATATGTATTAGTTTACTTGAATCTGGTGAGCCTATATATAGATCATATAAGTCATATCATCTAGTATAAAACAAGCAATTTGAAAATGATTTTTCTACACAGAACAAGATTTTCTTTAAAGCATGTTGACAAAATTATGGATCACACAAAGTTGTATGGAATGTATGATACAAAATGCTGGTTCCAAAAGACCTTGTGACATTTGTGTGATGGGTTTAAATCTATGCAATGGGATCTTTAAACTATTAGCACCTAATACTATACTTTATTTGAAAAATCTAGACAAATACAGGATTATTAATACATTATAAGCTTAATAAGATAAAAATTGAAAGTTTTCCTAAATCAGAGTAGCTTTAAGTGCATTATTAGTATATTATTTCAATGAAGCAAATGGCAGCCTCACGGTTTTAGATCCATGAGTATTAATAATCTCGGTATGGTATGCTTATTATTCAAATCAGATTGCCTGGAAATGTGGAAGTGTAATGTGCACATAGTCAATTCTCCATTTAAATGGACAGCATGATGAAATGTGACAAATATATACAGTCACATATATAGGGTCCCAGTCAAGATGTATAGTATTTCTACCATGCAAAAGTATTTCATAGTTTCCTCCCTTCATCCTCTGTCCCGGCAACCACTGGTCTGAATTTTACCCCTATAGTTTTGCCTTTCAGAACATCAGTAAGAATTGGGATCCTATGGTATGTGTCCTCTGAGTACACAGAGTAATGCTGTTTAAGATTCACACAGATGGCTGCATGTGTCAGTAGTTTCATAGCATTTTCTAGGTTATTGAGAAGATAAGCTACAGGGCGATTAGTGCAATGCCTTTAGAGCTCTCCCTCCAGTCTGTCACTAAAACTTTGATGGTGAAGTAAGGAGAATTTAAATAATTGCAATTGAGAAAAAAATATATCGAAGGCAGTCCACTAAAGTTGAACACTACAACTATGTTCTCTCAGTGGAGAGAATAACAACTTTCTGAAGATCAAAAACTGTTTAATTAGTCTGAATCTAATATTTGAGTTGACAAGTCTTTCTTAGAATTCATGCAAGATTTACTAAAGGAATGGGAAAAAGTTGGGGTTACCAAGGTTGGGTAACAGGAGCATGAGGGGTCTTTGTGTTAGTCTCCTTTCTTCTGGATTTATTGTAAATATGTATTACATTTGAAAATAATCAGAATGTTTTTAAAAATCATAACACTGATAACTAATAGTTTGTCTTGGTAGTAATATATGAATGTCTTACCGACTGAGTAGGAATTAAGTAGGAATTAATTTTAAAACGTTTTTACAATTGAGTTTTCCAAGACTTCTGTTAATATTTTCAATATGATTTTGTTTGTATTTGTGCTGTCAGTATTTTCACACACACAAAAGTAATTTTTCACTTATAATTAGCTTAAAAGCTTTAGAATTAAAATTAAATTCAAAGCCTAAAATATAAATAGTAATATTTCTGTATATCAACGTTTAAGAAATGAATATATATTATCTGACCGTAAACTACATTTCTTTTACAGATTGTGAATTTTTTTCCTAGTGGGTGGCTTCAATTTTCACTCCCTTAATGGTCGCAACACACTTCAGTTAATGTTTCATGGATATCTTTTTGAATTATATTTATTATTCCATCACTGTATTACACAGAACATAGTGAACTTAATTTAACCTGTTATTGACATAAGGAGCATTATCTATTTTTCTCATTCTCAAGTGAATATAAACCCTATATGTAAACTTCTATGAGGACTGAGGATGTCTGTAGAGATCAGTGGAGAACCCAGTTCCTTTGAATGAGGAGAGAGTAAGAGATCTTAAGCAATATCCAATTTATTGGGAGAGGAGTTCTTTCTTAAAAATGAATCTCCACTGAATCCTTAAAATATACAATAAAAAACACACAGTTCATTGACTTTAGTTAATGAAACACAACTGCCTTCATGCAAAATAACTTTTCAATTAAAGATTAAATTTGCTCCGCAAATAGTAGTTTTAAACATTAGGATGCAACACAAACACAAATGTGTCTGTCTACATTGCTGTTTTATTCTTAGTTTTTGCAATCATCTTTCAAAGATCAGAGAAGATATTGATTTTGCCTTTAGAAAAACAGAATTTGATCATGCACATATTAGTCAGTGCTTTGTAAGTCTCAAGTAAATAGTGATGAAATTTCTAAGAGGTTATTTTGGGAAAGCCTGCAGCATTTGTACATATGAAAGTAGTCAATCTAGCTATACTCTACTAGAACACTAGTTTTGAAGCGCCTGCCAGAAGCTGGAGAATCTTATGAAAGAAGCATCTACATCAACATTGTAGAACTGTACAAGGGATTGACACTATAAAAAAAAAAAACTTTTAAAAACTGGCAAAGATATTTCCAGGTTTGTAAGTTTTATTTTTTAATTTCATGTTTAGTTTTTACATACCAGAAAATACAAAACATATATTTCAAATCATCTAATTTCCTTAGACTGGTAAGCCCAGACCTGGACTATAATACTGGTTCTGAATACTCCTGGTCCACTGCAGAGCTCTTTTATGTGACAGATATTCACAAGAAGCCAAAGTGTGCACAACAGTGCTATAATTGTTGTAGAACACATGATAACAAGATGAAATGTTCTATTGCCCAGGAACTTACTATTTTTCTATGAATTTAAGATATGCATAACTAGCTAAAATAAAGGAGTATGATATCAGCTCACTGAAATTTACAGAAAATAAATCATGTGACTGATTTAATGCAGAAATGTGTATTATAGGATAGAGGTAAAAAGTATGTGTGGATTCTGAAAGTGGAAGGAATTCAGTAATTTGTTTTTTTTAAAGCTGAGTACTTCAATTATGTAGACAAAGTATTTTACTGAATGATTAATGTTTCTTTTCAAATCAGATGTACATACTAATGTCCATCTCAGTTTCTGTTTCCCTGTTCAA